CAAACAGACACAGTCCTCTCTTCCTTCCCCCTTTGCCCAGTCCAGAGTACCGTATCTCAGGAAAGGAAAACGAAGTCCATGGTTCAGGCAGTCCTCTGGTTCTTAGTTAGTCCTCCATCTCGACTGGGAGACATCCCTGGGTTCCCAGCACCCTCCTCTGAGTCGCTGGGATCTCTGCTAAAACCAGGTGGTGGTTCCCCCTTCTAAAGCTGCAGGAGTCCCCACTCTGGCACAGGCACGTGGTTCTCCCTCTCAGGGCTGTGGGAAGGGGAGAGTCCCCACTCTGCCAAAGCCACATGGTTCTCTTCTCAGGGCTGTGCATGGCTCTCCTTCCTAAAGCAGCATGGTTCTCTCCCAATGGCTGAGGTCCTCCCTATTCTGCTAAAGCTGTGTGTCTCTCTCCACAATGGGCATGATCCTCTCTGCACCTCCACAGCCACATGGTTCTCTCTCCTAAAGCAGCACGGTTCTCCTTCTCAGGGCTGCGCATGGTTCTCCCTCAATGGCTGAGGTCCTCCCTATTCTGCTAAAGCCGCATGGTTCTGTCCTCCTCAGGGCTGTGCATGGCTCTCCTGCCTAAAGCAGCACAGTTCTCTCTCTTCTGGGATGCGGAAGTCTCCACTCTGCTAAAGACGCATGGTTCTCTCTTCAATGGCCGCCAAGTCTGGATTTTAAATCCCCGTGACCAATCTTCCTCTGCAGCCTCATTTCCGACTCCTCCCACATTTGGCTTCACATGCCAGAATTCATATCCTTCTAGCTTTAGTGGGCTGCCATCATGAGTCTGGGCAGGTGTGGCCCCATGTCCTGGAGCCAATCTTCTCTGAGCTCTGATGCAGGCGCTGTAGCTTGGGGGATCTGCCCCCAGTTACATCTTGGTGGGGAAGTTACTTCCATTCCCCTGGCTCAGAGATGATCACAGCTATTTAACATATCCATGCAACCAGCCAAAGGCTATAGATATGTTAAATGACCATGCCAGAGGGTAGCTGCAAGGCTGTTGCTATGCAAAACAGGTCTCAATGGCCCTGCTCCATTTGTCCCTTCCCCCAACCCACACCCTGGGGGGTGGGGGTGGGATGGAGACATCTTAAAATCCCCTGGACACCCCAAGCTCTGACCCCATCTCAAATGCCTACCTGGGGTCCTCCCTCTTGGCTGCACCCTGTAACAGTAATTCCTGCCTTTTTCTCTCAGACTCTGACTGGGCTGCACTAATACATGACTGTGCTGAAATAACTGATGAAGTGTATTCTAGCAGAATTGATTTACAGGACCATCCTTTAGAAGAAGCAGATTGGACTCTCTGTACAGATGGAAGCAGTTATATTGACAAAGGAAGTAGAAAGGCTGGGTGTGAGGGTCTCTGCCCTCAGGGACCCCATGGCCACCACAGATGAGAATAAGTCTACCAAGACAGGATCTGCTTGGGGAGGAAAGGTGGCCAATCTCTCAAAGGAGAAGGTCCAAGAGCCTTTTTCTCAATGGGCTTTTATTGGGTTCGTTTGCATAAGAATACAGGTAAAGCTCACTAATTGTCAGGCAGCAAGGATCAAACAATAGATAACAATGAACTCTCAGGGCCTATTTTGAGTCAGGGTCTGATAGATAAAGAGCAATAAAACTTTTGAGGAACAAATTCACTTCTTGCTTAGACCCTTATTTAATTGAGAGCACTCTAAATAAAGCAGGTTTCACAGGATTTTACATATACTTTCTTAGGCCTGATTGCCCAGGGATCCCTCCCTCTAGTGCATAGGACTGCACCACCCTGTGTCATTGTTTCAGGCTTAAGACAGGCAGGGGAAGCAAGGAAGCCAAGAGATTAGGAGACTTCTTGTAGGAGACTTCTTGCAGACAGAGTGAGTACTCAGGCCTTTTCAAAGACGAGGGGCGAGGGTCCATTACCCCCTTTTGTTCTACCCCTCAAGTCCTTCCTTGAGGACTTGCCATGTGATCGTGCCTGTCTTAGATCATCACCCCCTTGGGGAATCTTACCCTCATTTGCTAAATGTCCAAGCATCAGGGGCCAGTTATGGATGAAGTAAAAGGAGCAGAAGTGGCATTACTGCCACTGAGATAAGCTTTGTCTCCTTAGTGTCTTATGGTCTAAAGGTCGCTCCCTCAGCCTTAGTCATGGGGGGGTTACAGCTTCTGAAAGCAGACAGGGTGGTTCCCAACAGCTGGGTATGTAGTTGTGGCTCCTGAAGGAGCAGTGGAGGTCAAGGCCTTGCCATTAGGAACCTCTGCTCAGAAAGCTGAACTGATTGCATTGACAAGGGTGCTGTAATTGTCGCATTAAAAGAGAATGAATGTGTGTATCAACTCAAGGTAAGCTTTCCTGATTTTGCATGCACATAGTTTCATCTGGGAACACAAAGAACTGTTAACCTCCAAATAAAAAGGAGATTTAGCATGCAGCAGAAATATTAAAATTATTAAAGGCTCTTCAGGTACCTTTACATACGGCAGTTATGCTCTGTGAAGGGAATCAGAAAGAGGACACTAAAGTGGCCAGAGAAAGCAATCTGGCTGAACAGGCAACAAAAACGGCTACTAAAGGAAAGTTTATAATGCTCTTGGTACTTGTTCCCGCCTTGTCAAAATTTGATCCTGAATATTCAACTGCAGACTTCAAAAAAGTTAAGGGATGGGGTTTTAATGAAGAAAGTCTTGATAGTGAATGGAAAAACAGTAAGAAAGGAGCTATACTGTTTTCCTCAACATTTAGTAGAGCCAGTCATGAAGCATTTCCACATACTGTGGAAAAGACTCATTAGCCACCTATGTCAAAATGTGGCTCACAAGTCCTGGAATTTCTAGAGCCATAAGAAAACTAGTTACCAAATGTATTATGTGCCAGAAGAACAATCCCAAAACAGAACCCCATCAGAGGAAAAAGAAAACAATACCAAGGACAGTGTCCATTTGAAAAGTGGCAAATAGACTTTACACAGATGCCAAGGCTCTGACAGTGGAAATATTTGTTATCTTTTGTTGACATGTTTTTCAGGGTGGGTAGAAGCTTATCCTACTAAAATGGAGAAATCTGTAGAGACTGTGAAAGCTTTCCTGAAGGAAATAATAGCTCACTTTGGACTCCCTGGCAGCATCCAGATTGATAATGGGCCTGCTTTTGTTACAGAAATTACACAGGAAGTTAGTAAATTTTAGGAATCAAGTGGAGACTCCACGTGGTATGGAGACCTCAGGATTCTGAGAAGGTAGAGAAAGTGAGCCATACCTTGAAGAAAAATACACCCAAACTGTGTCAAGAAACTCATCTTCATTAGGGTCAAGCTTTACCTATTGTCCTGCTCAGGATGAAGGTGGCTCCTTGAAGTGGGATTCAGTTGATTCCTTATCAAATTGTGCACAGGTAGCCATTTCAGGTCACAGTTGGGGTGAGAAATATGTATATACATTAAAAAAAAGCTGAAGGTAAAGAAATATGTACAACATTTAAGTCAGACCTTAGCTGTGATGAATGACCTCGCCTTTATTAGACACTTTTCTCTCACAAGTTTGCTGCATTCTTTTAAGCCTGCAGACTAAGTGCTACTCAAGATTTGGAAGACAGCATCTCCAAAAAACCCAACTAGGAGGAAAGTGGACTGAACCTTGGGACATATTCCTCACCACCCCCACCATGGTGAAACTAGCAGAAATAAAACCTTAGACTCATCACACCCAAATAAAGAAAGTACTGGAGGAATATCTGAAAGTCATCTTTAAGAAACAATGACTTTTATTCTCTTCACTATCTCTTGTTTCAACCTAGTTGGGGACAACTTGTTCCTTTCAAACAAGTTGAAAGTATTTGGGTATGTTTAGCAAAAATTATTCTGAATATTTCTAACTTTTACTTTGCAGGAGGAACTTATGTTGAACAAACTTTCCCTTCATGTCTTATAAGTGTCTGTACTCCTTTAGAAAGCCTTAGAAACTATACTGTGTTTGATCATATTGAAAAGAAAATTACCTACTCTGATATTTATAAATGGGGACCAGTGGTAGCTATAATGGACAGGGAAATGTTTTCCTTAAAGGTCACTAATGTACCCCAGCTAGAGAGTGTGCAGCTTTTGTCAACTGTACTAAAACTGTCTTGTAGTCTCAGAAGATGTGAAAATAAATTACACCACCACCACTGACATATCTTATGCTTTTGCTCCCATTGAACTGCCAACAGGATGGTTTCTGATATGTAAAATATCTATTCCTATGTTCCAGCAAACAGCTCTGGGGGACCAAGCTCTGGAAAGACTGACAGTGTTTATGCCTCAGCTCCGCTTGACCTGAGTTCAGCGGGATCTCTCCCTTTCAGCTGATTGCCTCAGTAACTTACAACTTTTAGCACTGCTGAATATGTGTCTTTAATTATATTTGTAATTCCAATCATGGTAACTTATTTAATGTAGAAATAAGCTGAATAGGCTGTATTGTGGCAAAAGCTTTGAATGCCACCTTGCAAGCTATCAGTGCCATTAGTCAAGAACTAAGACAAGTCAGAAAAGCTTTACTGGGTAATTGTGCAGCTATAGACTACCTTCTTATAAGGCATAATTATGGGTGTGAAAAATTTAAATGACTCTGCTATATTAAATTAATTTTTTGAAAAGTTAAAAATTCCTTATTTTTTTATTCCTGGTACCACTACCACAATTTACAAAGCAATATATCTGATGTAATTAAAAGAAAAAGAAAAAGACAAAGCTACAACAGATAAAAGACCTCAGGAATGTACATCTAATTGACACTACATTGCATTAATCAATAGCTGCACTTTTTGCAAACTGTGGCTATGACAGTCCTGAACAAGAAGGGTTTCCTGTTTAAGCTGCAGTAACTTTTCTGACTATGGATCATCGATCCTTCTGTGGCAGATTTTTACAGTTCCTCTAATGCATTTGGGACGACTGTCTCAAAGTAACCTGCAGCTTTCCTGACAACTCCTTGCTCTCTCCTTCTAAGAACTGTAGCCCTTTTTTGCTGAGTCTTCAGCACCTTCTGCTACCATATCCACCACTTCCACCACCAGATCCATAACCACCACGATAGAGGCTGCCAGAGTTTCTTCCACCAAAACTGCCCCCTCCCTTCATGGGTCCATAATTTGACTGCTGTTGTCCACTATAATTTCCAAAATCATTATAGTTCCCATCACAACCACCGTAGTTACCACCAAAATCTCCCCCTTCATTATAACCATCATATCCACCACCACCACCACAATATCCACCACCTTGGTTTTCATATCCTGGTTCACCACCACCATAGCCTCCTCTACTACTATAACCAGGTCCACTGCCATAGTTGCCACCATCACCTCCAAACCCATTATATCCACCATCACCTCCTCCATAACTACCTCTGCTGCCACCTCCACCATAGCCTCCTCTTCCACCACGGCCAAAGTTACCTCCACCACCTCCAAAGTTTCCTCCACTACCCATAAAGTTTCCAGATCTACCTCCACAGCCTCTTTGCAACCCAGCAGAGTGCATTTCTTGATTTGTGAAGTAGAAAGGGCCTTTCCACTTCACAATTATGCCCATTAATAGTGTGGTATTTCTTGCCCTGGATGGCGTAGCTCAGTGGATTGAGCGCGGGCTGGGAACCAAAGTGTCCCAGGTTCGATTCCCAGCCAGGGTACATGCCTGGGTTGCAGGCCATAACCCCCAGCAACCGCACATTGATGTTCCCCTCTCTCTCTCTCTCTTTCTATCTCCCTCCCTTCCCTTTCTAAAAATAAATAAAAAAAATATTAAAAAAAATAGTGTGGTATTTCCGAACAACAATTTTTATCAACTGTATCATGATCATCAAAAGTTACAAAAGCAAATCCTCTTTTTTTCCCACTCTGCCTATCTTCCATAACTTCTATGGTTTCAATCTTGCCATACTTTTCAAAGTAGTCTCTCAAATTATACTCTTCTGTATCTTCTGTAATACCACCAAGAAAATTTTTCTTCACTGTTTGATGGGCACCAGGCTTTACAGAATCCTGTCTAGAAACAGTTCTCTTTGGTTCCACTACACACCCATCAACCTTGTGTGGTTGAGCACACATGGCTGCATCCTCAACACAAGAGTAAGTGACAAAACCAAAGCCACAGGAATGTTTTGTTTGGGGGTCTCTCATCACCACACAATCTGTGAGTGTGCCCCATTTCTCAGAATGTTCTCTTAAACTATCATCTGTAGTTTCAAAGCTCAAACCACCAATAAAGACTTTTCTCAACTGCTCTGGTTCCTTTGGATCGTGGTCCTCCATTTTGAGACCAGGCTCGCCTCTTCCAATTCGAGTTCAGTATGGGACTGAGAGCTATTTTAAATTAACTGATAATTCACAACTTATAGAGCATAAAATAAAGCAAGTAATAATGCAATGTCTAATGTAAAACAGAGAGAGAGATTATTTGATATTGACCTGTCTAAACTAACCTCCAGGCTGCCCAGTATACCTGGTCTTTGAGAGACATTTATTGTTTTTATCTTTGTCATTTTCTAGAGTATCATATGCCTCCTTATGTAGGTCTTTAATTAGGTGTATTCTTAACCACAAGCCCCCACTGGACAGTCCAATGCTAATTTCTGATCTCAGAGAAATGAGATAGTTTAATACTAATGGTGGGGAATGATAGGGGACTCAAGACTTGGGAAATTTTAGTTTAAAGTAAAAAGTTATAAGTCTAGCAAGTAATGTGTATGTTAAAACTTTTGTTTGAGAAACAACAGATAAGGCCCATCCTGAATTCTGGGAAAACAGCTGTCCTCCTGGGGTACTGATAGAAAATTACCATCTGGGGACATCCGAACTTTTGTGTCCAGGGAGAGCAGAGGACCACTCTCTTGGGAAGAGCTAACTGTCCAGAACAGGAATGCTGCAGCTTTGCTCACCTAGTCCTCCCTGAATTTCAAAGCCCTCGCCACACCTTGTTTATCTTCCCCCACCCTCCTTGTAAAACATCTGGCCAGGAAAGAGAAGGGGAGATGATTTGTTAGGGTATGAACCCACCATCTTCTCAGATAGCAAGCCATCTGAATAAAGCGCCTTTAAAAGATTCAATCACTGTCATTGCTTATTGGATTTGGTAGTGACAGGCAGCCCAAACTCTTTTCCGGTTACAGGCTTACAGTATGAGTTCATTCCACATTCACAGAATCTAGAAATGAACAAGTTATGATCAATCAAAATGTCTCCTGGACACCTACACACAGCATTTCTTATCGACTAAGACAATACTGCAATACCACAAAGTTACTATGACTGCAGAGGCCCTTATAAATTCATTGTTGCAGTCACATCAGGATCTCTCTGGAGCATTCATGCTGTAGGCGATTTAGGAACTAAAGTAAGTTAAATATAGGAGTATTTGAATGATGATGAAACTGAGCAGGTGTCCCTCTGAGAATTCCTGATCCCAATTTTTCAACAATAGAAATGGGACTGGAGTCTTTCAGGCAGCAACATGCTCAGATAGACTAATTGAAATTAGGGACACAGGAACAAATATATGCTCTGACTAAGGAATTAAATAATGATAGCATAAACACTAAACTGAGACACGAGCCAGGGTCACAGGATTCCCAGTTCTTCTTCAACAGCTGTGGATAAGATCACAACACAGGTATTTACTTTTCAGGAATTAAGGTCTCCATGATAGGGAAGCGATAAACACCAAAGGAACATTTTTATTAGCAGGTTTAAATGTATCTTTTAAATTTTCTATAATAAGAAGTCAAAAGTTGCAACACTTAGATTGACAAAAGAATATCAGTAATTTATCTTGTTTGGTAATGATTTAGGTACATAGTGACTTTAATTAATGCCTAGGTGTAGTGGGATGGAGCTTTCAGTTAGATTTGTTAAGACAGCTGGAGGGTAGTGGCCAGGCTGTGAATGGAAGACTAGTTGCCACTCCAGATGTGTCTTTTAGAATATGGATTCTGCTCTCATTATTGGGAATGAGAAGGTTCAACAAACAAACAAACAAACAAACAACAAACAAACAAACAAAAAGTGAGAACTTCCCTCCTAACGACCTAGGAAGTATTTAGAAGGAGGACCAGCTGAAGGAGGAACATTCACATGGAAATGCCAAACCAATATCTATTTACTAATCACTTGTTTTGGAATATCCATGCTACGGGGTGTGTGTGTGTGTGTGTGTGTGTGTGTGTGTGTGTGTGTGTGTCCTGAAGTTCAAACCACAATGCTTTTTGTTCTTTATCTTCAGAAAAGCACATGTCTTAACCAAATAATACTTCTTTGGATCTCTATGTTTTTTACTTCAGAATATTCATTAGTAAAAATAGACTCTGTACATTGTCTCCTGTTAATCTGCCTCTATTGATTTGATTGTTACTTTAATAGCTAGAGGAATTGAAAGGTGAGAGAAAAAGAAAACATATTTTGCTCCCACAGCCGGCTGTCATGATCTCTAGTTGAATACAAAATGGAAACCTGATTGTGTGGCTCAGTGTGTTGTCCCCCAGAGCAAAAAATGTCCCTGATTTAATTAGAGGTCAGGGCACATGCCTGTGTTTCATGCTTGGTCCCCTGTCAGGGTCCACAGGAGACACAACTGGTGGATTTTTCTCTTTTACATCAAAGTTTCTCTCCCTCTCTTTATCCATTCCTTCCCCTTCTAGAAAGAAAGACAGAAAGACAGACATGAAAACAGACAGACCCAAGAGAAAGAAAGAAAGAAAGAGAGAGAGAGAGAGAGCGAGAGAGAGAGAGAGAGAAAGAAAGAGAGAGAGAGAGAGATAGTTTTATTAAAGAATGAAAGGTAAGAGGAAAACACCTGGTAGCTGTAAGTAAAAATAGGGAAACTTGTCAGGACAACAGGTTGGGAGAGATACATTGACAAGTAAGAGAAGAATGTAGCCTGCTAAACACAAGGTGGATAGATGTGTTTTCTGCTCTTAAATCCACATCACCAATACAATCCCATAACTGGGTACAGGGCTTGATATTATCTGAAAGCAGGAAGACCTTTGGACTCTAGGAACCAATAACCCCCAAAGAATGATGCCAGGGGAGAAATAATTTATATTTCAAAGATAATAAAAATAGTAAGATGGATGTGAGAAACCAAGCCTCCAAGGCTAAAATCTCTCAGCACCAGCCCCCTCATTACTACTGGGGCAGATAGACAATAAATAAAAGGACTTTATTTTCAAGTGCTTAGAGAAATGTCAAAAATTTATTAGAAGAGGTGTCAATTTAGGAGGACCAAAGTAGAAATCTTTTAACATCTAATTAATCTAGACATTCAAAATTTTAAAAACTTAGTGCACTAAATTTTAACTGAAAAATGACAAGTACATTTTAATGGAAATTAGAAGCTTCTAGGAGAAGCACAGATAAATCCTCTCTTAAAAAATAATAAAAAACTTTAAGGGACTGTCTCTGAACTTAAAGAAGGTTCTTGTAGGTACTAAACGCCAGCACCACATACCTCCCCCTTCCATCTTCCCTTCACTGGATTCTTTGCCTCTGAGTTCCTTTTTGATTTAATCTGAATTGCCTTCTTTCTTTCTTATTTTATCCTTTTTTATCTCTTTACCTCTGTTTCACTACCACTCCCTAATAATCTTAGAGAAAATGACAATAGAAATTTAGACAAAAATAATCCAGGAATTCCAGCAGCTCCTTTCAGAACAAAAAACAAAAACAAAGAAAACTAAACACCTTGTTTTATGAAGAGTGCAGTGAAGGATTATATATATTTCTAAAACTAAAAAAGAATATTAAAATCTATCTAAAAATTTCAAAGATTGTCTCCAGTACTCCGACAGGCTTGCAAAATATACAATTTGAACTGTTGGGACACAAGGTATTGACTATTCTCACCTCCTCCAGTGAATGCACCTACAGGTTCCTGGGAGTAAAACCACAGATTCACCAACAAAAGGTCCACTGGGAAACTCCTGTAGAGAAGTCTGTTCCCTTTAAAAGAGGATATAGAAAACTTGAAAAAGATTGAAAAGAAGAAAAAAAAAAGCAACCGTATGGTCGCTCAGTGGAAAAGGTTTTTCCTTTTCTCCGTACTTCTGGTTAAAAATAAATTAAAATGACCAGTACAAGGGAAATCCTGAAGGTCCTTGTAGGTACTGGGACGACTTTATCCCTTCTTAACAACATCCAATTAAGAGTAAAGCTTTGGTGCAGATTGTAGGGACATCTAACCATCTAATGAATGTTCTTAACACACAACCTGTCCCCTTCAACTATAAAATGTCATGAGGTAGCATGCCTTTTTACTGGTTTAATTGGCCTCAGTTTACCTGACAGGGAGAGATTTTGTTTAAACTCATGGCATGTACATATTCTTCTCCTGCAAGGGTGAAGTGTACTTGAATACTGAAACATTGGGGAAAATAATAATTATAAAGGAATTTCCACAAGAAGAAAAAACACATCTTGAGACTAAATGTTTGTTGCAGGATGTTCCAATGGAACTTCCAGCTCTTTCCAGTACAGATAATGTCAAGATCAATCAGCACTCCTATTCCTATTACAATAACAATTGATGATACTTTACCTCTCCCTAATATTTGCAATTTTACTTGAAGACCTGACACACTAGCTGGAAAGAAACCCATCATATCAAATTACTTTAAAAGGAGATATACTTTATATAGAAGTGTGTCTGTACTTCTGCCACATTCTGGTTAAAGAAAACAAAACAAAACAAAAAAGATGGAGATTTGCACATAACCTCAGAGCTATAAATAAAATACTTATTATTAGCTATGCTGTGATTCCAAATCTTCATACTTTATTATCACTCACATCTGTGGACTCTGAAGTTTTCAGTAATACATTTATGTAGTACCTTGTTCAGCACTTCAGTATAAAATAATGCACAGTTAATATCTCTTTGCCTACACTTCAGAAGTTTGCCAGTTTACTTGGACTAAATGTCCCAGGTAGATACAGAGAGCCCCAGCTATTTCTCCCAGAGATTAAGATTTGATTTACTTTTATGCTCTAGGATATTACTAGATTTAGAAAGGACACAATTTACTTTTCAGAACAGCTAGCAAGAAAAGGAGATCAGGTCTCGAAAGATAAGCTTCCATTTTGTTTACCTCAAATAAAATAGATTGACAACTCCTATCTAGAGATGGATTGTTGGGAACCGCCCTGACTGGTATCAGAGGCTGAAACCCCCGCCTAGCTAAGGCTAAGGGAACGCCCTTGGAACCGTAAGCCAGCAAGGAGACAAAAGCTTATCTTCCTGGCAGGAATGCTGCTTCTGC